TAGGAAAATTTACTCTAATGTTTAGATAGTTTGCAAATATTTGACATCACATGCTTGCTTTTTACTATAAAGATAAACACATCATGTTTGAATTTTAAACACTAAACACCTCATGCTTGCTTGTTACTTCACTACAAAGTAACATTCTACTCTCGGCCAAGTGGAAAAGAAATGCTTATCTATAGTAATTAGGTGTAAAATTTGACATTAATCCCAAAAAAACCTAATTAACTAATCTTAGCCATATAATCTTGGCAATCACTAATAATCTTGGCCATATAAAATGTTGAAAAGTTAAATTATCATACTAAAAATTAAATGAGCAAGTTAAACGAGCATAAAGTTTCGGAGTATTACAATGTGATCCGAATTGACTTTTGTATATTTGCAATTTAGTCCCAAACTTTGTAGCTCTTCTTTTTTTCGCATTTCTTTGATCAATTCTCACTTTTTCCATCAAAAACCATCCAAACTCGACTTTATCCTACAATAATCGATATTTAACCGAAGTAAGTAGTAAATTTGTCAAATTGACATTTAAAAACTTTTAATGCTCTAGATAGGTGTAGAAATCACATATATCAAACACTCCAAATTTTAACATTTGTTTGTCCCGAACAAAATTAGCTACTTAAACACAAACAAAATAAAAATAATGTTGTTAGATAATTTGTCGTTTAGCTTCGCATTTCGAAATCACTTGAACATTTATAAACGGCTTCCTAGACATGTTACCAAGATTAACTTTACTTAATTCCAAAACCTAGATAAATTAAAACAACTGAGTGCAGAATTTAGTTTGTAAAATAAAATATGAATACCATATGTAATGTGATAAACCACGAAGGTAAACATCTATGGGCCCCGTGCCACGAATTAAATAATCCAATAATAAGTTGATAAAAACACAATTGTATCTGTTTTTGTAATTTCGCAAAATGATGAAAAGAACCAAGAACTCCCTTTGTATCTTCTTCCTTTGACTTCTTGATGAAATAGAATCAAACCCACCCTTCTTGACTTTATCACCACTTTTCTATTGTACTCTGTCACAATTACCACTTGGATTAAGAATCTACATCATGTGAATTTGCTTGAAGATTGAATATTCAGCACAAGTTGTTTTTGTGTTATCGAAAGACTTGAGAAAGTTGTTGGCTTTGAAAAAATCTAATGAAGCATCACATCATGTGAATGTGCTTGAAGATGGCTGCAATGCTCTTTTCTAAGTCACCAGACGAAACTTATTTTTTAAAGCTTAATCCCTTTCTTAATTAGTTACTTTAATTATAGGTAAAGCCATTAACAAATATAAGAATTAATTCTTAAGTAATAATAGTCATTTAAGCAAGATAAGAGAATTAGTATATAAAATAATATATGAAATTTTTTCTACATTGTTAATAGACATTTAGTCTAACCTTAAATTCACCTATATAACAAATTTGAAAATATTTAGGTTGATACAGAATCTATTCTATACGAAACGTAATGTTATAACAATAAATCATATTATGTTATATATAGAAAACTATAAAAATCACAACCTAAAGATTCTAATCGAAATATTTACCAACCGATCAGTCAGTACTCGGTACTGGTAAACATCGGTAACCTTTTCTCACGGTTTTGACAATTAGAAATCACAAATGTATTAACAAAGCCAATAATATAAAGTTTGCAAAAACATTTCAAATATTTTCCATCAAATTCAGCTACTTATTCGATATGAGATTGATGTGTTTGTGCATAGTCAATTTAATCACAACAAATATTAAAGTTGGTTATTTTTTGATCTTCAATGGTCAAATATTTTCTTCTATTGTAAGGTACGCACCTCCAAACTTGTTCTTTATTTCTACTCGGTGTGTTTATTCTAAAGGTTGAATTCTCATCATTCATAAGTTGGGTTTCTACAATGAAAATTACTACCTCAATATGTGAT